GGCCCGACGTCCTGCTTAAGGCCCGACGTCCTGCTGAAGACCCGACGTCCCGCCTAAGGCCCGACGTCTTGCCGAAGACCCGACGTCCTGCTGAAGACCCGACGTCCTGCTTAAGGCCCGACGTCCTGCTGAAGGCCTGACACCCTGCTGGAGACCCGACGTCCTTCTTAAGGCCCGACGTCCTGCTTAAGGCCCGACGTTCTGCCAAAGACCCGACGTCCTGCTTAAGGCCCGACGTTCTGCCAAAGACCCGACGTCCTGCCGAAGATCCGACGTCACTCAAGGCCCGACATTCAGACCCCACGCTCAGCTCACGTCCGGACTATCGACATCCGATCTTCCAAGTGATACTGGGTCTAACACCCGACTCCTTTTTGATAATAACCAGTTGTAATCTGAACACCCCTGAAGGTGATTCAACCATTTGTAACCGACTCAAAGTTCTAGTGGAATCATTTTCAATTGGGCTAGGCCCAGTGGTTTTTTCCCTTTTCAAGGGTTTTCCACGTTAAAAATCTTGTGTTCTCTGTGTGTGAGCTAGTTATCCGTTCAACGCTAAGACGCAGAATTAAACCTCTAGCGCCGCGTATTTTCTAGCCCGCAACAGTTGCGGAATAGAATATACGCGGCGATAGAGTTAGAAAATTTTCATCTGAGCGTTGTATGAATATCTAGCACACACAAATAGGAGATAAAAGACACCAGGATTTTTACGTGGAAAACAAAAAAGGGAAAAAACCACGGGGCCACACCTAGTTGAAAAGTTCCACTAGTGTAGTTTGAGGTACAAGAGGCTGATTCGTCCAATAAGTTAGGACGATCAGATTACAATGAGTTTCTTCTGAATTGAAATTTAGTTACAAAGTTGTGCAGAATTCCGGCGTTATTCAGGGGGCGGAAAGAACTCCGGCGGTGGTTGAAGATGAGCTAATTCTCCTTCCCTTTATCTTCTTCTTCTCTTCTTCTTGCTTGGGTCCCCTCTTATGAGAAAAGAGGGGTCTATTTATATTTTTTTGGAGTGGCATGACTTGTAATAAATAGGCATGAGATCAGGGGCGAACAGGGAGTGGTCACTGGAGTGGCATGGCTCGTAAATAGGTGTGAGATCAGGGGCCAATAGGGAGTGACCGAATGGACCGCTGATATTGAATCCTTCGATTGTGCACAGTTCATTGGACATTTGAAGTCCTTAGTGATGCCAGAATTTGGAGATCTTGGCATCGTTGGATTCGTCTCGTCGAGCCGTTCGATTCGACTATAAGCTCGTAAAAATCGGAGACCGTTTGGTAACTCAAATTGTGGTATGAGCTTTTCAACAGCACTTCGGACACTTGATTTGTGCTCATTTGGGCTTGGATTGGGTTGAATTTAGTGTCGTTGGGTTCATATTTCTGAGACGCTCTGTTTGACTATAAGCTCGCTGAAATCGGAGTTCGGGTGCTCCTGAATTTAATTTTTGAAGTTTCCGGTCCGATTTTACCTCTAGATTCGTGCTCGATCAAGATAATTTTTTTAGAATATATCAGTTGCCCCCTATTTTCGGAAGTCGAAGGTCCATATATATATATGAATTATTATGTCATACCTCAGTACAACTACCCAGCTTTAGTTCCAAGTTGATTTGACTTCAATTGCTTTCATTACTAGATTATTCTTGTTTTAATCCATGAAATAATTTAATATCAAATATTTGCACCCTCCAATCATTTGTTTGTTATCATCAAAATATCATATTTTTGCAATGAGGCTCATAGAATTAACACTTGATTGACACGCTGTTTTTTATTGTTGTATAGGATGAAAAGCAGTCTTTTAAACAATATTTATTAGATAAAGTTAGATGTAAGAACATTACTGTATATACATTTACAAAAACTTTTGAAAAATATAATTTGACTCATTACTATTTAAAAAAAACCACAACCACTCATAACTAACACTAAATGTCAGAAGCACTGCTTCTAGAAATGTTCGATTATAATTAACATTAGATTGTAAGAGATTTGATGCCTATTGGTGAGAAAAAAATATTCACACTATATGATTTATCACTTGAAAAAGTAACTTTATATTATTTAAAGAATATTTTACATTTTGCTTACCTTCAAGCCCCTAGTCAATTTGTGAAAACCCATTGTTTTAAAAATCAGATTGAGCCATTTTTGAACTAGGAATCGATTAGCTAGTCAGTCTGGGCTATTTTCAAAACCAATTTCAAATTGAACTGAGAAAAATTGGTTTGAACCAATCTTGAATTATTAGAATTGGCCAATTTAATTCCCACTTTATTTAAAAAGTTAATAATTTTAAATTAATAAATTTCATTTAAAAATTAAATTAATATATAATTTAAATTCAATATATTTTAATTTTAAATGAGCATTAAATTTTGATAATGATAATTTACCAAATAAGGACCAGCTAACTCTTTTTGAATATATAATATAAATTAACAATAATTTATACTAAATTGAAAATTTATGTGTGAACTAAATTTATATTAATTTTTTTATTTATTTTAATGGTTAAACGTATATAAATTTAAAAATTACCTAATATATTTATGTATATATATATTTTTTTCAATCACAATTTTAAATTATTATATAATTGTTATAAATTATAATTCACTTTAAAAAATATAATGTTTGTTATATCATCCAATTCACTTTGAACATTGAATATTTTGTTTTTCAAGTTCCATAACCGTTTCGATTATTTTAATTTGGGAAAAAAACTTAGGTTAATTCGATTTTGTTGATATTTGTCCTTAAAAATAAAATAAAGAAATAAAAAAAAAAACTTGCACATGCCTTCAATAAATATCTTAGTCTGGCTTAAGAATAAATGAACTTACTATAATCATCAATATATCACAATCATTGACGTTTATAAATTATAATTTCATGCCTTATGGGCCAAGGCATCATAATAATAGGGCATCCGCCTCTGCCGACTTAATTAAATCTCATTAGTCAATAGGCATCCATAATTGGCTTCGAGAATATCAAGGGAAGTTACCTAATACGGGATGCCAATACAGTCAATACTGGCATCTATAAATGCTTTCCATGGGAAGTTACCTATGTGACGCCAATCATTGAAAAAACCAAAATAGCAGTCAACTAACGTGGACTAATAATATTCTACTGATTCTTTGGAAAATATTATATGATCGAAGCAGTTGCAAGCACGAATCTCAAATTTTTATGAAAGATTTAAAATTTCATAATTATAAATCGGTAAAAAATTTAGATCATAATCTTCTAATTAAGTTTTCATCATAATAAAATTTGAAGCTATTAAATTCATTCAGAGATACATATGATACATGGAAAATCAACAAAAAATTAATATAAAATTTTCATCTTAATAAAAAATTTAATTAAAATCATTCTGAGCTAATTTTAATGAAAAAATAGTTCTAGCATATCCTAATGTAAAATGCATCAAATTAAAATTTAAAATTCATGATTTTATATTGAGATTAATGTAATTCATGGTATCATATATAATATAAATTTAAACATAATGAAATAGTCATAGTTGTGAAGCTCTAATTAGTAGACAAGGCATACTACAATAAAGAATTGTACCAGTTATTGGACCCTTTGCATCAGTTTTTCACTAAAAAAACTAAGGACAAATTTAAACCTGCAGTTCAGTTGCATAATCTAACAGTGCATGCCACTGCTTGAGCCCAATACCTCAATCTTGCTTTTACATCATCAGGATGGTCTCCTGGAAGGGGAAAACAAAAAGGGAAAATCAAATTGAATTTTCAAAACACCTTAATTAAGTTGAACATTAAAAGGGGAAAAATTCACGTCAATCAATTTATGGTGTCAGATTCCAAGAATTTGGTAGGAGGTAAGGGATTTAATCTCCTTATAGGCCTCTGTTGTTTTAAAATAATGTGAAAAGGTCTCCCATCGATGTAGTTCTAAACAAAGAAGCCCTTTCCACATCAATTGTGTAGTTTAGGGCAATCCAAAGTGAAATTCTTAGGCATTTCTAAAGTAACCAGATAGGTAAAATTAAAGATAAGAAAGATAAGATAGTTAAATAGACTGAAACTAAATTTTGTTGATAGACAAATTATTCCACCGATGCAAAAGGCATTAATTCGTACCAATCAACAACCCTCAAACGTGCATGAAATGATGCATCAGATCACAGATATTGAGCAAACGAAAGCGAAAATGTTAACTCGATTAACACATACGCTCTTCAATTAAACAAAAATCCAACTCTACCTTGTAACTCTCTATAATCAATTAAAGGCTTCTTTCAGAGAAAATTATTGGTTAAACTTGTAAAAACTCAATTTCTTCAAAAAATTCGAGATTAAAATAATTAAAATCCATAAATCTGAAAATCATTCTAATCCTAAATAATCTAAAATGTTCTAATATCGTTGAATTAAGAAAAATCAAAATGGGAAAAGAAATCTCACCAGGGCTGGAGATCTTCCAGTTAGCGACAGGGGTCGATGGCGCTCCCGCTACCCCGGACACACCAACAGACTGCCTCTGCTGCTGCTCGTCGAGGAACTTCTGACTCATCGAGTAGCAAAGTTCAAGAGCCGGCAAAGTATTGCAGAGCTCGGGAATCTCCTCAAAGACAAACCCAAACCCTAGATCCAAACACCCCTTAAGCTCCTCCAGATCGTCGTCAGTCAAGCTTTTGGTCCTCCCAACCATTTCCACTCCGCCTTCCGATCCGTTCTCGCCTCCCTCAGCCACGTCAACGTAACCTTCCAGCATCACTGCGCTGCCGCTCCTCCCTTTCCGCGGCCATCTCCGCACATCATCATCGTCCGGCTCCTCCTCAATTCTTTTCGATCTCCCGTATTTTGACTTGTTCTTGATGGCTTCTTTCTCGGCAGAAAGGAAGCCGGTGTTCTTGCTCGGGATGGAAGTTGGGGAAAGAGGGGACCCCATTCGGGAGGAGAAGCCGGTGTACTCTCTCTCTCTCTCTCTTTCTTTTCGGTGGGACAGCTTTTATATGCTGATTCTTATAGGGGAAGGTCGTTGGCTCTTGATGAGAAGAATCATTTAGACTCTCACTATACACATTATGTAATTGATTTAATATACTTTATATAAATATTTATACAGTGTATACACTCACATGTTCGAATGATCAAAATTTTTATATTGATCTATTTAACATGTAAATATTTGGTAATAATTTAAATTAATTTAATGCTTTTTGTTTAAATTTTATTATATATTATGTTTAACAAATTATGTTGTAGATGTTCTGATTGTATCATATTATATTATACTTTGTTGTTTAACAAATATTGTTCAATGTTGAACGAACTTTATTCAAACTTGTAATTCAACTATTTTATTAATCTTTCTAAAAATGTATTAGTTGAAAATAATTAGAACCTTATCTGAATGATGTTCAAATTTTGATCGAAAAGAAAAAAAAAATTATTAATGTTACCCCCTTTTGAATGAGAATGGTTACGAATCGAGCAAGATTTGAATAATGTTTAATCAAAGATAATTTTTTTAATTAGTACTAACGTCAATGCAATAACTAGTGTCTTATTCAAACCAACATAATTTTTAAATAAGAATGATTAATACATGATTAGAATTCAATGAATGTTTGATATGTTGGATCTTTATATCCATTTATAAAAGTGGAAATAAAAATTTGGATTTGGAAAATTAAATTGAGACTTTCCCAATTATAGTTTTCTTAATAAGTATTTATTCTAAAAATTTGTAATGAAGAAAACTTATAGAAATATTGATTGAGACCGTAAGTCTTACTCTAATCACCTCACTAAATATATTTTAGTGAATGTGCAACTTACATCAATTATTGATGAGCACTTTTTCTTTTAAATGTAATTTATGTTTTGAACATAATTTCTTCCTTCAAGAAGAAATGACAAATAAACTAATTTTCTCATATATTATCATCCATTCTATCATGTAGAATTTGATTTATCTTTTAAAAGAAAAGTTTGCATCTTTTCAATTTAGACACCTCTTTTTATAAGCACTTTATTATAATTCATGGAAAATCCTTTTCTATTAGAATGATAATTAACATGACACATCATAATCCCTATCTTTTAATGTCACATCATCATCTTTATCTTTTAATATTAAAAGATATTAATCATAACACATTATCATTTCATGATTTTTTATAAAATATAAAAAATATTCTTATAATATAAATCTATCACAAATGTAATCATATTTTAACATTTATATTATTTTACATTCTTAATAATAGTGTTCAATTAATATATAATAGTGCTAAGATGATAAAGAATGATCTATAGACCTATTGTTCAAGCTCCAATAAATTTGACAATTAATTTAACTCTTAAAGTAATAAATCAAAATTATTAATTTTCATGTTATTTCACTATAAACATGAAATTGTAGTCCTGAATTTAAAGTATAATTTAATCAATTTGAAATATTAAATGGACCATTGATTTAATCATTACATATAAATTATTCTTTCTTAAAAAGTTCATAATTAGAGATAGGTCATTCTATCACATCACTAATTACATCTTGATCCTTGAATTCCAATTATTTCTCTATTGAAAAATAAACTTTGTAACCATATCATAAAATTCGAGTGCTCAATTATTCAAGTTCTGAATTAATTATTTAAGGAAACTAATTTTCTAATTTTTGAAATTGAAAGAAAAGGATTCTATATATGTATATTAACTTCCTCTATCCTTTGTTTTATTGTGATTCTAAGATACAAGGATTTAATTTATATTTTCAAAATTTTTCCTCAGTAAGTCAAAAAATCAAATGTCATAAGTAGGAGTTTATTAATAACTTTGGACTAATATTATTTAATCTATGATCCTCTTAATCATTAATTTTAAAATCCTTATAGTTAAAATAAAATTTATTAGAAAAACAAAAATTTATGCGGTGTAGTTCTATATAATCATATTACATAAAGTACATTTATCCTTAATATCTCCTTATCAAATAATCGGAATAAGACTATTTCATTCTTAATGTTAATGGATATCATACTAATAATATTTAATTATAGATTCCAACTATAATTAATAAATATGAATTTGTTTACATTATTATCCATAATTCATTCATCTTGTATATAATCATATACTGAATTATTATTACATAAATAATCATGAAATAAATATAATAATAAAATCTTATATCAAATAATAATATCAACACATGCTAAACTTATCTTTAAATATTTATTTCATAAGAAAATATATTATATAATATTGTTTTAGAGCACAATAGGCATCTTCCTTAATTTCATTGCTTGTATATGTTTTTCAAAAATTCATTCAGATAACATCTTGGTAAATGGATTAGCAATATTCTATTGTAATGTTAACTTTTCTACTGATACCATACCCTCTATTTCAATTTATCTTATAAAATGATATTTTCTATCTATATGCTTAGCTATTTTATGACTTTGAGCTTCATTTATATTTGATATAGGCGCATTATTATCAAAAAATAATGTTAGAGTTTTTTTTTAAATTCTGAAAAACTTCCAATTCTATTAAAAAAGTATGGAGCCAAATTGCTTCTTTAGTTGCTTCTATATCAACCATATATTCATCTTTCATAACTGAGTCAAAAATACACTATTGCTTTATACTTCTCCAAACTATGACTCCTCCTCAAACAAATATTGAGCAAGATGTGGATTTTCTTTCATCTCCATATGAGTAAAAGTTATCATCAGTGTATCGTTTAGGGATCAAATCAATTCCAAAATACAAAAGCATTTATTTTTTAGTTCTTCTAAGATATTTAAGTCTATATTTAACCACCACCTAATGAAACCTTCCTGGGTTGGATTAATATATACTGATTATGCCTACAACATAACAAATGTTAGGTCTTGTAGATAATACTAAGTACATTAAACTACCAACTGCTAATACGTAAGGCAACTGTAGTGTATCATTTTTCTCTTTCAAGTTTGAGGACACTTCTTTTTAGAAAGATAAAATCCATGATGTGAACACATATTTCCTTTTTTAGAGTTTTGTATCCCAAATCTTTTAAGAATTTTCTTTATATAGATGCTTGAGACAATGCTAATATTTTTTTTTATGATCTCTTATTAACTTTATCCCAAGTATAATGCTTGTCACTACCAAATCATTCATTGGAATTATTTAGCTAGTCATTTTTGTACATCAAATAATAATTCAATAATATTTACAAAAAGTAAAATATGATCTATGCAAAGAAATAAAAATATCACAATCTTATTTTTGAAAAACTTTTAAACATAAGGTTCATTTATTCTTTGATCAAAGCCATAAAATTTAATTGCTTCATCAAATCTTATATTCCATGACCTTGAAGCTTGCTTAAGTCTATATATTGATATTTGTAGTTTGCAAATTTTTTGCTCTTGACCTTCTATTATGAAACCCTCTAGTTGCTTAATATAAATTCTTTCTTCAATATAGTCATTCAAAAAAGTCATCCTGACATCCATTTGCCAAATCTAATATCCATAATATGTACAACAACAACAACAACAACATCAAGCCTTTATCCCACTACGTGGGGTCGGCTACATGAATCCTTTTTCTCCATTGTGTTCTATTAAAAGTCAAATTCTCATTTAAACCTAATAAAGAAAGGTCATTCCTAATATTTTCTAACCAAGTCTTTTTAGGTCTACCCCTACCTTTCTTAACATAAGTCAAATCTAATACCTCTACTCTCCTAACCGGGTCATCGAAAGGCCGTCGTTTTATGTGACCAAACCATCTAAGGCGACTCTCTCTAATTTTATCTTCTACTGGAGCTACTCCAACCTTTTCACGTATATGCTCATTTCGTATCCTATCTCTAAGGGTAAAGCCACTCATCCACCTGAGCATTCTCATCTCTGCCACACTTAACTTAGTATTATGCTTCTCTTTTAATGGCCAACATTCGGCACCATAAAGCATTGCAGGCCTCACTACCATCTTATAGAATTTTCCTTTAAGTTTGAGGGGTACATTTCTATCACATAACAAGCCCGATGCATTCCTCCACTTCAACCATCCAACTTGAATTCTGCTGATAATATCCCCATCTATTTCACCATCACTTTGAACAATTGATCCAAGATATCTAAAACGTGTACTCTTATTAATGACTTGATCGCCCAAAGTCACAATCCCTTCAGTAGGTCTATTACTACTAAAATTACACTCCATATATTCCGTTTTAGATCTACTCAAGCGAAAACCTTTAGACTCTAAGGTTGACCTCCATAATATGTAGGAATGGATAAAATTATGTGTATAGATTTAAATAGAGTAACTTGAGAGAAAGTTTCTTCATAACTAATTCCCTCTTTTTAAGTGTATCCATTTTCCACTAGCCTGACATTGAAAGTCTAAATTTTTCATTAGCACTTCTTTTTCTCTTACAAATCCCTTTACATCCTATAGGTCTTACCTCACTAGAAAGGTCCACAAGTTCCCAAATAAAAGTAAAATACATTTAATCTATTTCATATTTCATGACTTCTAGCCATTTTTCTTTATTAGAATCATCTAATTCTTGTCTATATGTCAATGGATAATCATTGTCATCATCAGATGTAACAATACATGCTTCTCCTTCAATTTTATAATTAGGGAGTAATCTAATAATTTTCCCACAATGATGAGGTATTAAAGGTGCTTGATTTGGAGTGGTGGTTTTTTTTAATGGCTTTCAATAATGATTTTTGTTTCATTTGTGATTTTGAGTTGTGGCACATTTAGTTTTTTCTTGAGCAACACCTTACTTTGAGGTTTAAAATCTTTTATGTTTTCATGTTCAAGAAAAGTAGCATTTGTCGATGCAAATACTTTCTTTTCTTGAGGACTATAAAATAAATCTTCTCTAAAACCTTTAGGATATCCAAAAAAATATATATTTGTGAACATGATTCTAACTTATTTATTTTTTCATTCAATATATGTGTTAAATATCCATATGT